TGTTAAACCTCAATGAACCAATACTCAGAGGGACTCATATTAAAGTGGGTGAAGAAAACAAATGGGTGGAATTCAGGTATGAAAATCTTCAATCTTTTTGCTTTTATTGTGGAGTCATAAGACACTCTGATAGAACGTGTAGGAAAAAGCAAGAGGATATTACTAAAAATATTCCTAAAGTGGGGCAGTATGGTGAATGGTTGCGTGTGAGTGGATCGACTTTCAGTGGCTCTAGAAGCCCATCAAGTCAAACTCATGGCTCTCAGGCCAGTACTGAGGCCAACCCGCCATCTCCTGTTATTAATGTTGTCAAGAGTGTGGTTGGGGACAAGAGTAGCCAGGGAGAACCTAGTAATCCAGCCTCACCAGGGCCCTGTGCCACAGGGGACCAGGTATTAATGCAGACAGAGGAATCTCAGTCTTTGAGTGGTAGGGAGGTTCTGAGAAGGGCAAATGTTCATGGCAAGGAAATCATTCCTGCCCAGGACATTGGTATGACACAAGATGCTAATCTTGTGGATATTCAGGTGCAACCTTCTCCTATAGGGAGAAGAATTGTTCATAGGAAAAGATCTGGTGCCTCAAAAAACCAAAATCCTAAGAATCTGAGTATTCATGAAGATATGGTTATTGAGGAAACAGAGGATTTTAAGGGGGTAAGTTTCAGGGGTCTTTAAAGAGAAATTGTGAGGGATTAGAGGAAGGAGAAAGTCAAGAGCCAGAGGAGTCCCAAATTAAGAAAAAATCCAAAAAAAATGTGTGTCAAACTTTTTCTGAGGTGGAGGAAACCAGCCATAATTGGTCCCAAGGTTTTAAATGAAAGTTATGGTGTGGAATTGTATAGGTTTGGGAGGACCCTCTACAATTTCCCAGTTCAAAGAGTTTTTAAGAACCCATCTCCCTGATTTTGCTTTTTTGTCTGAAACTAAGAAAAAACAAAAATTTGTTGAGTCTATGTGTAAAAAACTCAAATTAGCTGATAATTGGTATTATGTTAAACCTGATGGGTACAAGGGGGGCTTTTCCTCTGCTAGTCTTCTAAGATCAACATTTTGAATATTGTCAATTCTGAATTTTGTCTTGAGGTCAAATTCAAATTTTCTGGAGGTCAAGAGATCTTTTGGGGGGTGTTTGTGTATGCTAGTACTAATAGTGAAGTTAGAAAACTTCAGTGGGAGGTTATTATTAGGCATAGTTTGGCTTGGGGAGACTCTTGGTTTATTAGTGGGGATTTTAATGATATCCTTGATAACTCTGAGAAAATATGGATTTCAGGAACCTTGTGGCTACTCTTGGGGTGATGGAAACCAATGTCATTGGTCATCCATTCACTTGGACTAATAATAGAAAAGGAGAGAAGGCCATTGAAGAGAAATTAGACAGATTTCTCTTTTCTAATGAATGGCTTATCAAATTTTCTAACTCTGTGATTAAGCATTTTACTGTGGTTTCTTCTGATCATTCTGTGGTTTTATTAGATACTGATGTTTCTTGTGAGAAATTCAAGAAAAGATTTGTCTTTGATGCTAGGTGGCTTAAAATGGAAGGGTTTCATGAAACTGTGCACAATGCTTGGAACTTGAATGTGTTTGGTCATCCTTTATTTAGTGTAGCTCAGAGGTGTAAAAATGTCAAAAAAGCTCTGGTGTTGTGGAACAAGAATCTTAGTCTGAATGCTAGAGAGAAAATTGCTGAGTACTCTGATAAATTGGATAGACTTAGAATTCAGGGGGGGAGAGATTGGGCTGAGTGGACTAATTGTAAAATTGAGATTCAATTGGCTTATGAGAGTGAAGAGAAGTTTTGGAAGCAGAAAGCTAGGGTGTTGTGGTTGAAGGAAGGGGATAAAAATTCTAAGTTCTTTCATTCTTGTGTGAATCATAGGGGGAAGATCAATAGCCTTGATAATATTACTAAAGCTGATGGCTCTAGATGTAGTAATAAAGAAGAAACTGTGACTGAGCTTATGTTATATTTTGATGAGCTATTCAAGTTTTCTAATCCTATTAATCATCACTTTAGTTTGGAAGGCATTAAAAACTCCATTAATAAAGAGATGAATGATAGATTAATTAGAACTGTAGAAGTTGAGGAAATTGAACTTGCTCTATTTGGTATGGACCAGGACAAGGCTCCTGGAGAAGATGGGTTTACAGCCTGGTTTTTTCAGAAATCTTGGCCTACCATTAAACATCATGTGTGTCTTGTTGTTGTCAATTTCTTTAACTCTAGGAAAATGCCAAAAGGGATGAACCATGCTGTTATCTCTTTAATCTCTAAAAAGAAAAATCCTACCAGAGTGATAGACTTTAGACCCATTAGTCTTTGTAATGTGATTTATAAACTGATTGCCAAAATCATTGCCAACAGACTTAAGGATGTGCTTAGTGAGTGTATTTCTTGTACCCAAGCTGCTTTTGTTCCTGGTAGACAGATTCTTGATAATGAGATTGTTGCTAATGAATGTGTGCACTTTCTAAATAGCAAGAGAAAAGGTAAACAGCATTTTATGGCCATTAAGCTTGATATGGCTAAGGCTTATGACAGAGTTGAATGGGCTTTTATTGCTAAAGTGTGTAGATATATGGGATTTTCTGAGGTCTTTATTTCTTGGATCCTTGCTTGTGTGTGCTCAACCTCATTTTCCTTTAATGTGAATGGATCTGTGCTGGGATACATTTAACCTACTAGAGGTCTGAGACAAGGAGATCCCTTATCTCCTTACATCTTTATTTTGGTTTCTGAAGCCTTCTCTAATTTAGTTCATAAAGCTTGTTTATCTGGTCAGTATAAAGGTATTAAAGTGGGAAAGAATGCTCCTAGTGTCAGTCATCTATTCTTTGCAGATGACTCGATTTTGCTCTGTAAAGCATATCTTCATCATGATCATCTTGTGTGTAATATCCTTGCTATGTATGGTCATGACTCTGGTTGTCAATTTTGATAAGTCTTCTGTCTTGTTTTCCAGGAATACTCAGGAGGAAACCCAGGTTCAAATCTGCAGAGCTTTGCATGATATTCAGAGAGTTCACTCATCTAAATATTTGGGTCTGCCTTTAGGTATAGGAAGATCTATGAGGGACACTTTCCAGTATGTGAGTGAGTGTGTGAGAGCTAGAGTGATGAACTGGAAAAATAAATATTTGAGTGAATCAGGCAGAGAGATTCTGATAAAATCTGTGTTGAGTGCCTTACCCACATATGTCATGTCTTGTTTTAAATTGCCTATTTCCATTATTTCTCAAATTTGTAGGGAGGTGGCTAATTTTTGGTGGGGTAAAAAGGAGGGGGGAGGTAACAGAGTTCATTGGGCTGAGTGGGGGAAGTTAGCTTTTGCTAAAGAAGAGGGGGGCTTGGGTTCAGAGATATGAGGGTATTTAATGAAGCTTTGTTGGTTAAGCAACTGTGGAGATTAATCACCTGTCCTAAATTGCTTGTTAGTAGAGTTTTGAGAGGTAAGTATTTCTGGGACAGAAGTTTGTGGGATGTGAGTGCCAGGGATGGGGATTCATGGCTCTGGAAGAGCTGGCTGAGTGTGAGGGGTTCTCTTAAGTTAGGGGCTAGGATAGTGGTGGGGGATGGTTCTACTGTCAATGTTTGGGATTCTCCTTGGATCCCAAACAACAGTTCTTTTAGACCTAGGTGCTGTTTTTGGGGAGATAGAGGTAGGATTAGAAAGGTGAGTGAATTGATTAAAGAGGGAGGGAGAGAGTGGGACTCAGAGTTGGTGCTGCAAACATTCCACCCTGTGGATGCAGCTCAGATCCTTAAAATTCCATTATCTAACCATAATAAGAAGGATAAGTGGATTTGGCATGGGGGAAGAAAGGTGAATTTTCAATCAAGGTTGTGTACAAGTCTATCATGGAGTTCAGAGCTAATCAAAATAATCAGGCTTCTACAAGTCATCATAATAGCTGGTGGAAGAAGATGTGGACTACTCTTTGGAAACTGAACATAAAATCTAAGATGAAGCATTTTTTTGTGGAGATGTTGGTTTGGCTTCATTGGGGTTAATGGTAATTTGAGTAAAAAAGGAATTGGGGTGGATCCAATTTGTCAGGTGTGTGGGGAAGAGTCTGAGACCTTAGAACATTTTCTGTTGCATTGCCAAAAAGCTAAATTATGCTGGAAACTAAGTGGAATTGAATGGAATCTACTTCAAGATAAGCATACAAGTTTTCAGAGATGGTGGCAGGAAATATGTGTTAAAGGGATGAAGAAGCAGTTAAGGGACAGACTTGAGCTCTCTGTTTTTTTAATGTGGAACATGTGGAAGGCAAGGAACAAATGGGTGTTTAAGGGGGATTGGATACATGAGACTATGGTTGTGGCTGGAGCTAAAGCTGAATGGATTGAGTGGACTTCTCAAAAGCTGCAGGCTCAAAATGGCTTCAGGACTGATGAACTATCTCAGGGAGTAAGTAAGCCATGGGTGGCTATCAGTGTTCATTTATCTGTTCATGGAATCATTGAAGTGGATTGTGTAGTGAAACAAGAGGATGGCAGTCAGTTGCAGTGGGAAGGGCAAGTCCCAAGAGAGGAAAACTCGTTAGCAGCAGATCTTCTTGTTGTTCATTGGGGGCTGGGGAAAGTGAAGGAAGCAGAACCAACATGGAAGCTATGCTCTTGTTATCTTAATCGTGCAGCAGCTGTATTGGCTCTGCAAAAGGCTGATGCAACTGGGAATGGCCAGGATAATCTTCTTGATTCTATTAAGCAACTAGTGATGGATTGTAAAATTGATGACTTTGTTTTGCTTTAAGTTGTTTTTTGTTTTTCTGTTTTTTCTTTGTGACCATGTTGGTCTTTGATGGGAGGAGTATACTCCTTCTCGTAGCATTTAGGTTGTAATCTTCGGGTTATGCGATGTATTAAGACTTGTTATTTGAATAATATATTTGGTTGTTTGCCTTGGAAAAAAAAAAGATTGTTAATCACAATCGAACAAGAAAGCCATCAAACATATTTATTCAATTACTTCTCCTTTTGGGTTTTTGTCAACCAGAGATGTCGATGGCTTTAACCTCAGGTTTCTTGACCTCCTCCTTGGGCACAATCACCGTGAGCACCCCGTTCTCCATGGCGGCCTTCACCTCCGCTAGCTTGGCATTTTCCGACAGCTTGCAACGGCGGAGGAACTTGTCGGACCTCCTCTCGACGCGGTGCCACTTGTCATTCTTCTCCTCTTGCTCCTTGCTCCTCTCCCCGCTGATCTGGAGGATGGATCTGTCCTCGACCTCGACCTTGACTTCCTCTTTCTTGAGGCCAGGAACATCCACCTTGAACACGTGAGCCTCGGGCGTCTCCTTCCAATCTATGTGCGCGTTCGCCACCGCCGACGCGACCCTGGCGGTGGAGAGAGGGAATCCCTCAAAAGGGTCCCACAAATCCAGCGAGAACGGGTCGAAAACGCTGTTGCTCCGGCGGTTGCCAAAGAAGCTTGGGATCAGCGACATTTTTTTTTCTTTTTTGGTGTGTGAAATTAGAGAGCAGAGTTGATTGATTGAAGAGATTTTGGGTGCTTGAGAAATTCTGGTTGATTTAGATGACGTTGTGGAGGAGTTTTTTTATAGTGGTGAACGGAAAGCGCAGGCGGATTCGCGTAAATTCTCGGGGAAAGACGGGCATGTTCTAGATTAGACGTGTCCTCTCCATCACACTATTAAGACATTTTACTGTTCAGTTATTATTATCTTAAGCCTTCACATAACAGTTCATTTATTTCTAAAAAATGAATTACTCAGGCTCACATTAGTTCTCTCGTGTTTTTTCCCCAAAGGGCATTACTATTCACCGCTCTCCTTATTACTAATCACCGCCCTCCTTGAACGATTTTGCCCTTCTCATTCGCACCATGTCAAGCAGCTCATAGGTAATTTTTTTTCTGTCCGGACGGGAAAGACGCACGGGACCGGTCGTGTCCAGCCGATAAAACCGGACGGCCCGTAGGGCGTACGGCCTGTTCGGCCGGACGTGACCGTCCCCGCACGTCTTTTGGGGCCGTACGAACCGGTCGTCGTACTAACAGACCAGACGTACGGCCGGCTTGATGTCAGGTCGCGACGACCGCACGGAACCCGGTCCGTGCGGTCCGACCGGCCGGCCATATATTTTTTTTAATAAATAAAATTATTAAGAATTATTTTGTTGTAGATTTTAAATAATTTTTGTTATAAATTGAACGTAACATAGTATTATCGTGTTAGAACTAGAAATTATTATATTATAGATTTGATATTATTATGTATAAGTTGAACGTTAAATATTATTGTGTTAGCTGTTAGAAATAATTTTGTTATATATATTAAACTTGATCATCTTATAAATTTGACGTTATATGTTATTGTGTTAGGAATTAGAAATTATTATTTTATAGACTTGAAATTAATATGTTATAAATTGGACGTTAGATATTATCGTGTTAGGAGTTAGAAGTTAATTATACTTGATTATCTATAAGTTGAACGTTAGATATTATCGTGTCAGGAGTTACAATTAATTATACTTAATTATCTATAAAGTTGATGTTAATTAAAAATTAGTATGTTGCATGTTTCAATTAATTATTTATATTATAAGTATGCTTCAAAATTATTAAATATGTAATACATTGCAGGTGTCTTTAGAAGATTTTGGAGGAGATGGTATTGATTACCGTTCCGCTTTCAATACAACTACGCTGTTTATTAGTGATGAGGAGGCTAATAAGGATGCAAAAAGTACGGCAATTCTGAATGGTTTCTTTTTGACTATTTCGAAACACAAAAAACTCAGAAGGCTGAAGATCTTGAAGTGCCATCGAGGCGAACGTTATAGAGGCAAAAACGTAGATATGAATAAAGCTGTTTCTAGACAATAAAAAACGAAAGCGTGTCAGTGCCATTTTGAGATACAAGTAAAGCGTGTTGCCAGATCGACATACTGGATGATCCACACGAGTTAAGACGAAACGAAGGGATACCATAATCATTCATTTGTTGTGTATCCTGAGGGCCATCGACAGTCGAGCGGCATAAGTCAGTCATCAAAAAAAATTATTCGTGATATGACTGTTGCGCATGTGACACCAGCAAATATTTTGGCCGCCGTCCAGGACAAAAATCCACACGACCATGTTAATCGGCTACATATATATAACTATAGAGACTGGTTGCGTAAGAAGTTTTGAGGGTAGGGACGTTCCTACCCAACTTCTACATTTGGCAAGCAGCAGCAACTATATAGTTTATACAAATGTCGATCCGAATACAAATGTGCTGACACACATATTCATGGCCCATCCTGATTCAGTGAGTCTATTCCGGACATATTATTGGTTTGTCGGCATAGATTCGACGTACAAAACCAACAGGTATTTTAAATTTACAGATATGTTATTAGTATTAATTTAAATTTTTATTTTGGATTAAATTTTATGTGATTATAATTTATTTCTTTTAGTCTCATTTTCACAGGTACAAGATGCCGTTGGTCGAGATGATTGGCATGACACCGTGCAACAATAACTTTCTAATTGCGTATGCCCTCATGAAGGACGAGAAAGAGGCCAGTTATGATTGGGTTCTCGACAAGTTGAGACTTCTCATAGGCTATACGGTAAGAATTTATATGAAGTACATGATTAATTTAATTAGTATATAAACGTACTTTGTGCAATATGGTAAAAAAAATTGAGGTTTTTTTTGCGTGTCTCACTAATTTTTTACGCTGCTCAGGTGCATCCTAATGCGGTTGTCAGTGACAGAGAGTTGGGCTTATTGACTCCTATTAGGAGGCATTTTCCCCAATCTGCCCACTTACTCTGCACGTGGCACATCAACAAGGATGTGGAAAACAAAGTGTACAACTTGTTTGGGAAAGATAAAAATTTATCTGAGAGCTTCTTGCGCGGTCGGTGGAAGTCGATTATGGATGTCAGTACGTTGGATGAGTACGACGCTGTCGTACCTCAATTGAATGCAAAATACGGGAATGATTCAAAAGTGGTACAATATCTCGAGCAGACGTGGCTAGGCCACAAGGAGAAGTTTGTGAAAGCCTGGACGAACCAGGTAACACATTTTTGCAACACAACTACCTGTAGGGTGGAAAGTGTCCACTCTGTGTTGAAGCAGTGGCTTCGCACGTCGACTGGCGCGCTAGATACAGTGTGGCATAAGATTGATAAGGAGATCGAGTCTCAATTGACTGAAATCAGGTACATTCCTGAAAACGAAATGTGTCATTTTATTACTTATGAAAAAAGGGAATAATTATATAAGTAATTTATATTATATTATATAAGTATATTATATTATCATTGTATATATTATATAAGTATAGTATATTATATTATAATTTGTTATATTATGTTACATACGTATAGTATATTATATTATAATTTTTTATATTATATTATATAAGTATATTATATTATAATTTGTTATATATAACAAATTGTTTTGTAATGTATTAACAGGACAGCACTTGAGTCTTCGAGACTTAGGAAGAGTACGGCATATACGGGATTGGCTTTCGCGTGCTTGACATTGAGAGTCTTGCATTACTGTCTGAATTTATTGAATGATGAGCTAACAAGGATGCGAGACTTGAGCTATGAAGTTTACTTGCGCTGCGGCTGTTTATTGCCTACCACACATGGAATTCCTT